TAAGAGATTTACTTTGGTTCCGACTTTATGTCTGCCGCGTTTGACGTAGACGGTTGTGAGACTATTGCATCGTCTGTGTGAATATCATCATATGGACGTGCTTGCGAGGCTGGTCCTTTTTTGGGAATTAAAGGATGATCAGTTTCCCATAAACAGTTGAAAAATAACCCGGTCTCTGAAACAGTGAATAAAAAATCCAATATACGGCAAAAGTCATAAGCATGAACTTCTTACACAAGTTGGAAATAATAAGTAACAAACAACTATTTACCTGGTACTTTCGGCTCAGTCTGTGATGCTTGAATTGTTGAAGTTTTTGTAAGATCGTGTTTAATATCACTGCTAACCTTTGGCTGAAGGAGAGATATATGTTCATCAATAGTTTTTGATGATACGTCCTTGGATTGCTCAAGGATGTCGGAAGTTGATTGAGTGCTCATATTCTAAACAAAGAATAAAGTATTTGCACTCTCATATCCTCATACAAAGCTTTCTATATGGCAACTCTTTTTCCTTGTAAAAATTCGCAAGTCAGAAGAAAGTACTACTGAATTTGTAATTGAAAAATCTTTGTGTTGTTCGAAGAAAACTCTAATATGTATTAAATATCTCAACATATAGCATCATTGTTTAAATACATTTATGCTATTTATAAATTTTTTTTCTTTTTCTTTAGTTTCTTTGCGTATGAGAGAAAAATATCTAACTCTGTTCGCCAACGTGAAAGTGGTTGTTTATTATGTTCTGTTGCTACAATGTGTGTGTATGCACAAGGTATTATTACTCTAAACCTGTAACTAGCAGGTTCTGCTTTTGTTCGGTTAGTTCGATGAAAGCAAAAACTCTTCACAATACAATGTGAAACCTTTCCGCACTACAGTCATTAGAAAACTAGCAAAATTTATCCGTTCATAAAAAGAATGATCCTCCACATTTTTTGAATAACTTTTTAACGGTAAGAGGTAGAATTATGCGATTTTTAGCATTCGATAGAGGAGATGATGAGAAGTGAAACTATGAAAAAATCAGGTCTTCCATAGTAAATCCTGCTATCCGTTTCTCGGCTAAAAGTTTTTTTTGAAATATTGATTCTATCCTCTGAAGTGTGCTCTTTAAAACTGCACAAGTCCCGTCTCTCTATCTCTTTTTATTCGGGAGTTACAGGCATTTTCCGAGGACCTGTCTATCGGCTAAACTACATGTTTGAAAACTCCCAAAACACATGGAACATAGGTTATCGGCCCTCCTGGCTCTCGTGGCAATGTTGATTTGTCGTTAAAATATTCAAGAACCGCGTGAAAGTCTATATTAGTTAAAAAAGACCATTTTTCTGCCTGTTTTCACATAAAAGTCGAATATTCATAACTCACACAAAATCAATCGAAACTATGTCAGAATACTTAGATATGCTCTATTTTATCTATACTATATCATGCAATTCAATACAGATTTTGAAAATCACTAGAAATTACTCTGGTTTTTGAGAAGGCTTTCTAGAGGTCTACAGTGGACGCAGAATATGTTTGGGAGCTTTCAAACTTGTAGTTTAGCCGATAGACAGGTCCTCGGAAAATGCCTGTAACTCCCGTATAAAAAGAGATAGAGAGACGGAGCTTGTGCAGTTTTAAAGAGCACACTTGAGGATAGAATCAATATTTCAAAAAAAACTTTTAGCCGAGAAACGGATAGCAGGATTTACTATGGAAGACCTGATTTTTTTCATAGTTTCACTTCTCATCATCTCCTCTACTGAATGTTAAAAATCGCATGATTCTACCTCTTACCGTTAAAAAGTTGTTCAAAAAATGTCGGGGATCATTCTTTTAATGAACGGATAGTAGTAATGAAAAGAGTAAAATGCTAAGCCAGCCAATAAGAGCCATCAAAGATAAGCCACGACCTAATGTGCTAAATCGACCATCTCAGGTTTCTTCCAAAATAGAGGGCTTCTTTAGAGCAAACATTTTCAGGAGTTTTGGTGAAAATCGGTGGTCCTAAAGTTGTTATTTTGCTGAGATATTCAATTTTTACGAAAAGCCCCAAAAAGCTAATATTCCGCCATCTGGAAAAATTGTCAACTTAAACGTGTGATGTGTAACTTTGTAATGACATATGACTTAGATTATCTATTTTATCCGAAATACTAAATAGTGTCTACTACAAATTTAAGCAACCGCGGGCTCCGCATATGCTTTTGTTCTTTTACAGTATATGACTCGCCGACAGTCCCAATCGTTGATTCCGTCAACTCTGCCGATCAACCCTGTTGAAATGAAACGAAACATGAGATCCTCAATCGTATTTTTCGATAGACTATGTGTTGGAGTGTTTCTGAAATCATTCTGACAATCTCAAGTATTCTCGTTTTCGATATAGATTCCCCCAAAGTTGCCACTTTTAGCAAAATGCATGATTTTGGCAAATCTCCCGAAAAATGAGACGAATTTCAAAAGCATTATTATACATTTAACTTTTATTTATCGTTCTGTATAATTTTTACAACTAAGACAAAATTTCAAAAGAAAAAGTAAAGAAATACATGAGAAAAACATTTGATCGATACGATCAGTACAACAACCAATGATACATTCTACTGACCATAAATACACATTCTTATTTATGAACACAAAAAATGAAAAATAATCACGCACAAAAAAAAAGAAAAGTAAGATTATATAGTGCAAAGATCAAGGAAAAATGGACGAATTTTTACGCTCGTCACAAAGACACATTGGTATGATATATACAGAAGTATCATACACACTTGAAAAAATTTTATATGAATATAGATAAATACGGAAAATTTTACCAGCAAAGTTATACTTTTATACATTAATGTCATAATCATACCGGCGAATCAGCATACATTACTTTCCACCTGTCTCTGCTGTTGACGCTGCAGATGATGAAGCGTAAGATATGTGATATTCGTCGTAACATCTGGCCCTCGTTTCATTTGTCACATAACCACATGATATACCACTACTATTAGAACGTGTATCACTATCATTTGGATATGAATAGTATGAATCAGGCATTATCGTGTTTAAATTGAATATTATGTTGTTGTGCCTAGTGAGACAATGGTAATAAGAACAATTGTTAGCGCGTTGTTGTAAAATAGTGCATCTTCTACCAAAAATATGTAGCAGGTGGTTATAAAGAGAAAGAAAAAGAAGTTTAAATAACAATATACAGTTTACTATTTTCATCGATTTTCTTTCTTCTTTAAACCCTGGACAAAAGAAAATTTTGTCACAGAACAGAACACATCTTTGGAAAAAAAGATACAATACTGTACAGAAGAAAAGAAAGATAATTTTCAGTTTTATCTGGATAGAAGATGTGTTTGGAGGAATAGAATGACGATATTACTTGTGATATGATCTTGAATTTCTCGCCAAACGTTCTCCTTCTCACACGAGGGAGAATCCTTCACAAAAATTCATCCCTCTGGATGCTCCTCATCAGGAAAATTTCACTGAAATGACGGACATATGAGGGACATCACTGCTGTCCCTCATTTTAGATTAATCTTTCCCACATTGGAATTGTTACAGTTGGCAATTCTTCAATTGTACGAATGGCTTTTTTGACAGTAGGCATCACAGTTAAACATAAAAAGTTTTACTGGACCAAAAATCTAACAGCAAAGGGAAAAACATTATCTTGTAAAAATACGATTTTTCCTCAAAGTGAACGTAATTATAACTCTTCTTAACATCAATTTATTTAAAGAAAAAAAAAGTAATTAAAACAAAAAACTTTGCATGTTCGGTATCAGTCAATCAGTCAAATTTTAGCAAATGTCATTCCTAAAATAATGTTGTAAATACGAATGAGTATCAAGCTCACAACAATACATACATAATAAAATTGATCGGTACTAAAATAAGATTACACACACACATTGATTAGCTGATGAGTAGAAACCGAGACGCATATGTTCTACATCAAGCTCAGTTTGCTTATGAAATAATAATGAACAGATACATAATTCAATAAATATAGAAGTACTAATAAGAAAATCATGTGGGGATACACTAACAGCAATTAACAAAAATATATATATAGGAATATTATAAAAATAAATATAAACAAATAGTCTGGAAGTGTAATTAGTAGTATAAAAAATAGGAAAGACAAGATTCCAGCAAAGTTTAGCTCTAACTTCATCAAAAAACTAGTTCAACTTCAAAGTTAGAGTTATCCATCTCTGTCATCGCGGTCCATTTCTTATCTTGCATTCTACTCTAAAGAAAATATTGCAGATAAATCAGAGAGATGCTAAAAAGTTCCAGCGTTTTTTTCCTTATCTTTTTCTTTCTATATTTTATCGGTTCAAAGAGTCAATAGAGTAGATTGAAATAGTATACTATTCCAATCTATTCTATTGACTCTTTGAGCCGATAAAATATAGAAAGCAAAGCCGAAGAAGAAATAAAAAAACCGTTAAAATATCGACATCAATACACTCGCTACATAATCTCACTTTCTAATCAATTTTCTTATGCATTCATAATGAACGTTAAACTGATGAGGTACGGTTAAACGGTAACGATAAACTGGTAAATTACCGTTACCGTTTCATGCTTATCCTTTATCACGCTCAGCACAGAAATGTTTAGACGGTTTGTTGATGACCAAAGCCAAAATCAAAAATTTTTCTCTGAGAAAATCATGGAGAAATGAGAAAGATTTATCATATATTATTATGATATTTTTCAAGTTCGCAACAGTATAGATGTATGAAAGTGGTAAAGTAAGACGTTGATTCATCAATAATAGAAACTGAAATATAGATTTGCTAACTCAAGCTTGTTTATGGAATAAAAATAAATGAGCAAGTATAAGATTCAATAAATATGAAAGCAAGAATAAGAAAATCACTGACATGTTGACAACGATTAACAAAAGTTTACCTATTTTAAAAATAAATATACACAGATAGTCTAAAATATGATCAATATTTGACCAAAAAACTCAAATATATCAAAGTTTTAAGGAGTGGCAGATAATCCACCAAGACAAATATATTTCAAATTCACATAATCTTCAATTCCATATTTCGAACCTTCTCGTCCAAAGCCAGATTGTTTTACTCCACCTAAAATAAATCACGATAAAGAAATTTAATGTTCGTTTGATACAATTGAACATCTATGATCACGTACCAAATGGAGCTTCAACAGCTGAAATTAAACCTTCATTGACACCGACCATTCCAGTTTGAAGTTTTTCTGCAACACGCCAAATTTGAGATAAATCTTGACTATAAAAATAACCTAAAAAAACAAAAATTACACATAATATGATATTGTTCGTTGTACAAACTTATAGATATACCTGCTAGTCCAACTTCCACAGAATTAGCAATTTTAACAGCTTCTTCTTCTGTTTTAAATCTAAATAATGAAAAAACAATCATGAATTCTATTCTTACTAGAAACTTTAATAACGTGTCAATCAGTTTCTACTAAAATTGGAAACAAAGAGTGATGAACATTCATTTTTTAATATACCAGAGATGAGCGAGTATACAGTTTTCCGAGTACGAGCATTCAAAATTCAACTCGGATATAAGTAAATTTACAATGTTTCTAAGCTTTGACAAAAGAAAACATAGAAAAGAAAAGAACGCTTTATTTTGACCAGCTTTATTCTTATTCTTCCCTTTTATTCATGAAAACCATAGGCAGAATTTTTTTAGGGGTCAATAAATTTTTCTTTAAATTTTATTTTGAACTTCGGACAGATACCCTGCTGCAAAATATAATTCTTCCTTGATATTTATTTTCAGAAGGGGCAATTACTACACTCATTATTGTGTGTTATAAAAGCATTATATTGTCAGTATTTTTAATTTTTCTCCTCTTCCTTCGACTTGATTAAGCTCAGTTTTCTACCAAGAGGGCCCCGTTCAACTTTCTACAAAAACTTTACTACCTTGTTTGGGTTGCAAAATCCGAAAGTGAGAAGTGACATGAGAAATCGTGCGAAGTATCAAAATTCAAAATGGATAAAAAATAACGTATTTTCTTAAATAGAGCTTAGTTTTTTCGAATGGTTTTACAAGTGTCAGAAAGCAATTAGAGTATATTTCGTGTAGATTTTAGTGCGCTCTTTCTGATTGCGTGCGACCAAAAGTTGTTTGAAGCCAAATGTTCAACGCAAAAATTTAATTGACTTTTTGGGAATCCAGTCCAGAAAAATTCTGGACTTTTTTTCGCGCGTTATAACACAATTTTTTTTTTCAAATCTTAGTAATTCAATAATATAAACCATCCAGTTGTCGACAAAATAAAAAAAATTTCAAACTGAAAGGATGAAGTTTGAGTAAACTACACTTCTTTTATCGAAAATCGCTACTTACGGGTAAAATATCCTCATATTTAGGAAGTTTGAAAAAAATAACAAAATTTTCACATCTTTAATTTGAATTATAAAAACTTTTAGTTATAGGCAGCAGATAGAGCTTTTCAAGGCTTATATGATGGCTACTTTAACTTTTTCTCTCACAAATGGCGAATAAAATTAAAAAAAACTGTTTTTCTATCTTCTTTTTTTATCCATTTTGATACATCGCACAATTTCTCATGTTACTCTTCACCTTCGGATTTTGCAACCCAAACAAGTTAGTAAATTTTTTGTAGAAAGTTGAGCTTGATCAAGTAGAAGGCAGAGGAGAAAAGTTAAAAATACTGACACTGCAATGCTTTTATAACACTCGTTACTACTCGTACCGTACAGGTACAGAGATGAGCGAGCCTCGCTCATCTCAGCAACATAATTAAAAAAGATCAACTTAAAATGAGTTCTTGGAAGATGAAAGATCGTTTCCTACTTTATGATAGCTGCTAATGGTCCAAATATTTCTTCTTGTGCAACTCGCATTGATAATTTTACATCAGCAACAACTGATGGTTCAATAAAAAATCCATTATTTTTCAATTTTTCTTTTGTTTCGGTTCCACCCATAATTATTCTTGCGCCTTTCTGTTTTGCATCAGCTACAAAATCAATTATCTACAAAAGCAGAAGAGTGAATGTTAAGTATTTGTCTCACAACCGAAAACAATAGATCGTTCGTCATTACTCGTTCATATTGATCTTTATTAATAACAGGACCTAACATTGATTTTGGATGTGTTCCATCACCGACTATAAGTTCTTTTGCTTTTTTAGAAAATTCGGCAAGAAATTGTTCATATATACCCTAATAAAAGCAAATCATAGAATTTTCATTATTATAATGGATATTTCTGATGTAATGGATCATTTTTGTAATGCAATTTTTTTACTACTTGAAAATGGTTTGAAATCTTCATTTTAAACTTAAAAGATGCAAAACTATGTATAGTTTTTAATAATATATTTGGCTTGGAAAAAAATCTTTTCTTCGAAACTTTCGAAATAATAAACTCTATTAAAAAATCCTACTGTGACACTTTTTTTTTCCTTATAATACTATGATTTTTCTGTATTCTGAGATATAAAACAAACTTTCATAACATACATTTTAAACCGTATGTACAAAAACAAACACGCTTTCAGTTCATGTTACAAAGAAACAAGTACTAAATTTACTCTCTTTTGTTAGAAGGCTAAACATTTTTATTGATTCTATTTTATAGAGTTTGGGAAGCTAATTGTTTCGTACCCGAATGATTATTTTTATGACTAAACGTAGCAGAAAACTTTGCTTCTATGGCGAACCACTTTTCATGTCGCAGTCATATTTTCTGATGAAGTTTATTATTTCGAAAATTTTAAAGAAAAGATTTTTTCCAAGCCAAACATATTATTAAAAACTATACAAAGTTTTGCATCTTTTAAGTTTAAAATGATGGTTTAAAAATGGTTTCAAACCATTTTTAAGTAGTAAAAAATTGAGTTACAAAAGTGACCCATTACAATGGGGACAGTCCTTATCAACTAAAATTGAACATACCTCTTGTACGAGAATACGATTAGCACAAACACACGTCTAAAAACGTATAAAAAATATGTACTTGTATTCTCATTCTTGAATGATTCTTCTTACTTGTCCAGATGCACGAAATTTTGAGTTCATAGCCCCTTCTACAGCTTGTGTTAAATTGGCACTGTTAAATACAATGAACGGCGCATTTCCTCCAAGCTCCAACGAAGTCTATCATGAAACAAATGATGAACCTGAGAGAGAGCATATTATCTATGTTAGAATCTAATTACCTTTTTTATTGTTGATGCACATTGTGCTAAAATTTTTTTTCCAACCTCTGTCGATCCAGTGAAGGACATCTTCGCTACTAATGAATGTTCACAAAGATGTTTGCCTATTTCGCTTGTATGAGAACTTGATGTTAACACATTAATAACACCGTCAGGAAAACCAGCTTCTTTGGCAAGATCACATAATGCCAACGCTGAATAGGGAGTATCTTCCGCTGGCTTACAAATAACTGTACATCCAGAAGCAAGTGCAGGACCTAAATGTAAAATATTAATATTTTTCTAAAAAAAATAAAAAGAGATCATTTTTACCAGCTTTTCGTAAAAGCATTGCTGCTGGAAAATTCCACTAAAACAAAAAAGAATATTTCAAGATATATTTTGCTATCTAACAGAAATATTAGCACAATACCATACAGGTGTGATAAAACCACAAACACCCACAGGCTGTTTAATAACAAGTAATCGTCTATTTGGAAGAGCAGCAGGAATTATATCACCATAAACACGTTTAGCTTCTTCAGCGAACCATTCGATATAACTAGCTAATAAATAACAGAACCACCTTTAGTCTTGAATATGAATATCATAATAAAAAGAAAGATATAGCTCACCTCCGGAATCAATCTCACCACTTGCTTCTTTTAATGGTTTACCCTTTTAAAAACAGAACATACTATAAGAATCTAATTCAATTCAAGATTTAGAAACAAAAATTCGAAACATAGATAATTGTTAAAGCGTAAACTAACAAAGATAAAAGATTTCTCATTCTTATTCATCCATCTTAACATTAAGAAAAAAAAGAAGGAAAATTTGTAAACATACCATTTCTGTTGTTAATATTTTTGCCAAACGATCACGATTTTTTGTTATTAATTCAAAGAATTTCATCATTACTTTACTTCGTTCTTTTCCCGTTCGAACTGACCAGTGTTCATTAAAAGCTGTGAATGCTGCTTGAACAGCTAATTCAGCATCATTCTTATTACAATTTGGCACACTACCAATTTCTTCGCCATTTGCCGGATTATAAACCTAAAAAATTTTTGTTTTTAAATTGGTAATATCAGAAAAATAAAACATAAAAATGACGTACCTTAAATGTCTCACCCGATTGAGATGAAACCCATTTTCCACCAATATAGGATTGTGTAAAAAATGTTCGCTTAGATCTGACAAAACTAGTATGTCGAAAAACGATACACAATGAACGCATCATCTGAAAATAGTTTATGAATTAAAAAAACAGCAGATTTTCTATTTCATCCAAAAGAACAGATGCATAAAAAAAAATATTACAACAACAAAAGAAAGATTTATAAATCAACACGAGTTAATATCTATTTCGTTTGTTTTTAAACAGAATGGTCATTTTTAATATTTCTAGTATAAAAATTTATCCTTTTAAAAGAATTACACATTGTACATAAATTTTTCCAATCCAATTGCTATTTGATACTCTGTTATAAAGATAAGATTCGGACACATATGCAAATAATTAGTTTTGAATGAAATTCCCAACTATGGTTCTATCTTATCACAAAAGAGATTATGTAACATAAACAATTAATTGTTCGTCTTATTGTTATTATTAATAGTATAAATACACACATCTCAAGACCTACCTAATAGATTGAACTACCGATGTTCGGTCAAGTTTTAGCAAAAAAAATTCATTGTGCTATGTAGATGCTGTAGGAATCAACGATTTTCTTAAATGAAAACACCGTTTACGATAGGTTTTGAATAATCATACTACATTATAATAATCAGACGGTAGAATAATCACTGTACTTTTCAACTTCATCGAAAATGCTGTTTTGAGTAGCAGCAACTAAACGGCAGATGTTATGGATCTCCTTTCGTTGAACAAATACCATACGTCTAGCATGTCAATTGCTAAAACTTCTACAAATTTTTAACGAGATGAAGAGAAACTCTGTTTCAATTATCAGTACGTTTGTTGTTCTTCAAGGACAGAAGAGCGGAATGTTGTTAAAGGAGATCAGAAACCATGTTTTCGTCGTCTTGTACGAAAAATAATCTTCTGACTATGTCAATAACGACAAATCAGAAAATAAAGCTTAACAAGTTGTTGATTTTACTAAAACTTGTTTCTCGTTTAACATGTGAATCAAGTAATGATCAACTTCAGTATTCATTGCCATACCAATTTCTGTTTGTCTTTTTATGATCGAATGTAAGGCATTGATTGACTATACAAATCAGTCAATTAATAATTGTGCTAAAAGTTTGTGCATTTGTTTGTTTATTTTTTCGTAAATGCATTTGTTTGTTTTGAATTTCGTTTTGATATTATTGAACAATATTAGTTAATGTTCGTCGACGATTTGCTTCTCTGATTGTACTAACATAAAACATCTAACAATAACAACGAACACATTTGTTCATAAAATAAACACATACACTAAACCGCTTTTTGCATGTAAACTTAAATCTTTTAGTAATTTTTATTAAATACGATAATCATTTTTTCGAATAGTAACAGATACCTATGAATATGAATATTATATGAGATTAAAGAGAGCTTTTTCGAAAGAATTTAAAACGCTTACGTTGGTCAATTGAGTTCCTCAATTGTTTGAATTCATGTACTTTCTGAAGGAGGATATTTTGTACAACTTTCATATTCTTGGAGCCTAAAATTAGAAAGAGAAGAAAAACTTATTTGAAGGAAAAAGTCTGCTAACACGAATATATGAGAAGAATTAGTTTGTATAGTATAATGCCTCTTTCTAGCTCTACATTAAGAAAGTTCTTAGCGTTGTAATTAGGAATGAAAAAAAATGACAAAGTCGAAGCTTTAGAGAAAGAAACATGTTTCAAGTAGGGACAAATTAATCCGTAAGAGGGGACCGCTAACCATTTATCGAACATGATGTATGGAAAGGAATCGTAGCTAAACTATTTTCGAGCAATCTAAAAAAGAGAAATTGTAGTTTTTATATTGAAGTAACTTCTAATTAACGTATTACTCCTGGTGTTTCTTTATTACCACAAAATGCAATGCCGAAAGTTTATTTTTGTGCTCATTTTTGAAATTTATACAGTAAAATTTTGATAAAAAGAAAGAGAAAAAAGTTGAAGTAACTTGCTGTTGACAACAAAGAAATGTTGACCTATATTAAAGAGGTCGAGAAAATACGGGTCAACATTTACGTCCGCAGAAAAAACTGAGTATAATTACCAAAAACAAACGCAATTATTTACAAGAGGTAGATTTATACTAAAAGCTACAAGTTGTTGCGGCAATGTCTATTTTTCGTACCACTGTCACCAAAGAGAGACCTACTGTGATTGTTACTCATAAAGTGGTTTGGCAATGAAAAGGTGAGACAAGTGATGAATGATAAGACAATGGCCCAGTGTTTTGTCCGATTAATGCGAAAATATACACAAGCTCAATAGTGGTCAAAAAATAAGAGTACTATTCTTTCTATAACAAGAAAATAATAATGGCGATAATAATTTGTTCATGGACGCTTCATTTTCAAACTGCTTGTCCGTTACTATTAAATGTTTCACGTAATGTTCCCTGTTCGTTCAATTGTTTTATCTTATCAAGACCGCCGATCAATTGTCCATTGACATAAATTTGAGGATATGTCGGCCAATTTGAATATATTTTGAGATTTTGGCGAACATCTTCATTTTCCAAAATATTAAATGTTTTATAGTTATTGATTTTTGCACGAGACAATATTTCTAATAGTTCCTTTGTAAAACCACTGAAAGCAGAGAATTTTTTATGTCGGTTAGCTGGGAAAAGTTATATCAACATACCATTGTAGCTGCTCTTTTGAACCTTTGATAAACAACATAATAGATGCTTGATTGATTAACTTTTCTAATTGTCTGTCTGAATTGACTATTAATTCTTTGTTTTTCTGCGATCTAACTTTTGCTTGAAATTCACCACTTTTGATCATTTCTTTCAGGATATCAAGACCGCCAACAAGTTCACCATTTACATATAACTAGAAATACAAACATACGTCAACGAGATGTTGAGAATATTCAAAGATCTCTAAATACCTAATATAGAACCTAACGTGCTCCGTAGTACTACAAAGTTCAAGAGACGTTGGATTACACTGTATTTTTGCTCTCTGAGCTTCAGCTTCCCTTTCCCAGGGTTGAGTTGAAAAAAAACTTTCAATTGTTTTTCTAAACAACTTTGAAGTGATTGCATTCTGTTGGTCATTCAATAGCAACTCTTTATGCCTGTCACATGATCAATGACTAGGAATGCATACTAGTTTTTTACCGATGTGTTGTCCTTTAGTCTGACGTGAAAGGAAAAGCGTCGAATGATCTTACCTGTGGATATGTCGGCCAGTTGGAATGTTTTTTCAATCGTTCACGTAAATTACCATCAGATAATACATCAAAATAATCAAATTTATGATTATTTTCATCCAATAGATGACAGACTTGTCGACTGAAACCACATAGAGGACTGGTCGGCGTGCCTTTCATAAACAAAATAATCGATGATCGATTTAACAACTGTTTAATACGTTGTTCTGTATCATCTGATGATTGTGATGTTTGCTGTTGCAGATTGATTGTTGTATTAACAATATCCCTTGTGTTTAAATGTGATTTAATCTTTTTAATCAGTTCACTCTGATTAAAACCATCAACACGATCAATTACTTGTTTTTTATGTACTAATAGTATTGTTGGCGCCGATGTAACATTATACCGATTTAGAAGATCGTCAACATCACCCTCAGCGTTTACACAACATAATTGCAATTTATGTATAAATTCTGGTTCACGAGTTAAACTTAATAGTGCATCATTTAAAGTTTTACACACCTCACTATTTTTTAATTCAATATGAACGAGCAACAACGTATGGGAAACCGATGACAACGATAGAAAATCATCAAATTCTTTTGTTGTTTTTAACAATGTAATGTCTTCTATATTCGAGATATTTGCAAATGATAAAGCCGTGGTTGTTGGTAAAACATTCAATTTTCTATCAGACATTTTTAAGTTTCTTTGTTTTGCAAATCTACAGTAACGGATAAAAGTATCCACCAAATCTGTATGTCAAAAATCATTTGACGATCAGAGTCACTTTTGACATTTTGAATTCTCTCTGAAAAAACATTTGAAGTTTTTTTAAAAACGTTACCTAAGTTAACAATATTATTTAAATGATCTACATTGGATAGATATATCCGAGGGTAACAAAAATTTTTTAGCAAAAAATGTCTCGCTTTGTTTAGTACAAAATTTAAAATTTTCTTTGTCGATGTGCAAATAAAGAATCATATGAGAATAGCAATTTATGAGAAAGAACTATATATAGTTCAATATGTTACTCTTCTTTTTTGTCTTAAGTAGAAAAATGAACGCACATGCTCTCCACTCGTAAGTGCATACACAAAAGCAAATATGCACGGTGTAATGGAGAAAAAAGAATTTTTAGTGAACGCAAGAGAAAACTGTTCATTCTGACAGAAAATGGATATTTCTTGTTTTGATGTCATAAGCCTGAAGTTTGTGATAATTGTTTTCTATTTGTGAAATAATGAATGAGAAAGCTTATTAAATAGAAGAGTGCGAGTATTGAAATCAATAAACCCGAATGAAACACGTACATGCTTCGATTTGAAGAAGGTCAACAAATTAATGTGTCGGGAAACAGTGGGTGTACAAGTACATGAAACAAGAAGTCGGTGACGCAGATCGATGCTGGCACATAAAAAAAACAGCACTTGGAACAGAGGACAGTTAGAATATTTTTAAATTACATGTTTCGCATTAACTCACTCATTTTTAATTAGATGAACATGATTTTTTTTAACATAAAGTTGCTGCTGAGACGGAAATTTCATGAACAAAACAAGATATCTCATGCAGATTTCTTATGGATCAAATACTTTTATCTGCTGCTGTGGAATAACGAAAGCAGATGTTCGTATAGAAGTGAACGTACAAGTGAAAACAGTCTATAGTGTTTATCAAAAATGAAATCACAGTTTGTTTTATTTTATAATTATAGTTTTGAATCAGAAATGAATAAAATGTCTACTTGCCATTCACAGAAGAAATGTAAGTCTTGCTGTGTGAAAAAAGTGGATATTTTGTGAATAAATTTTTTTTTTATAGCTGCCACAGTTTGTTCTACAGGTTACTTGTCAAACAAATAAAAAGATTTAGATTTTAGTGTTATCAGTAGAAAGCACAAAGTCCTCGCTCCAACAATAATGAAAGATCTAGCACGTAATGTCTTCAGCGGTGGAGATACACCTGCTCGTCTATTTAGCGTTTTTAAAAACGCTTTCTTCTATACTTTCTTACTGCACTAACGAGTCAAACTGATGTGAATGTTTACTTAGTTACCATTGCATGTTTTGGTATAATTTTGCATACTATCATAAAGGATAACAAGAGGCACACGAATGAAGCTCTCCGCATTTTGAATCTGACTCAAGAACTACTGGATATTTTTATAAGGCTTTTGCGTCTAGAAAACTGTTCGATCTATCATGTTCAATAGCAAGTTTTTGCAAATAAAAATGGCTGAGAACTAAGCAAACATTCAGTGAAAATTTCAAAACGTGTCTCTTCTATCCGGAAAGTACTCTTTCTTTTTAGTGTTGTGCGTTTATTTAATAAAAAACGAACGAACTTCGACTTTTACACAGAGTATAGAGTGTTCAGGTTAGAATACGCTAGGTGTGAAAGTTTGGTGTAAGGAGGTTCAATCGATGAAGGCACACGTTGATATAAGCGACCAACACCTAACTTTTATACCTAGCTTATCTTGATCCAGCATTTCTAATGAGAGCAGCGTGTGCATGTACACCTTGTTTTTGACTCTAAAAAGTATACGAAGTCAAAAATTGTTCGTAGAAAACGTAAAATAGATAAGTTTGTCACCCTTTTTTTAATTTAACAGATTTCTACACGTCAAGATCAGAACAAAATCACACACACGTTAAAAGTTAACAAAAACATAGTTTATGACTTACACACGTTTTTATCTGACACGCGAAATAAATAAGATGGTCTACTGTACGTAATACTACGTCTCGTGTGATTTTTACTACTCATAAAAAACAGTGAACTTTAAAATGTTGTCGTTGATTCATCGTCTTTATTCGCATCTTCGTCTTTATGCATAATAGAGAAGTTAGTACAAAAAACGTTTTATCGAATCAATTGGTAAAAGTAAACGCATCAAGATACGATATTGGCTACAGAACAATGTTAGAAGAGAATCCTACAGAAATCGTTTAGTAAAAATTCGCATATCTCGAAGTTCCATTAGTTATATACAGTTGGATGTAGAATGGAAAAGTACATCAAATTCTGTTTTTCGTTTTATAATTCTCATCTCTGTGAAAGAATAGGACTTAAAGTTGTCTCAGTCTTGCTATAACCGTGGATGCACCATTTCCGTCGAAAACCATTTTTCTCTTGTTGGTGGAATAATACCCTTCCAGTTTTGGGTTGCAAAAACTGCTGCATACGAAATATAATTTCTAAATTTTAGTCCTAACTATCTTAAAATTTTGTGTTCCGTTTCTTATGTACATGTATTTTTGCTTTGATATCAATAAAAATCGTTTTTTATCAGCCAGTTTTCACTTCTTATACAAATTAACAGCATATTTGGAATCTCCAATTGAAATTGCATCGATCGAAGCACTTTGACAGTGTTCAATATCTTGAGACATGTCAGAGTGACCGAATAACAGTACGATACTCTTTTCGTCAGATAACGGGATAATTAACAATAAACGTAACATATGAAGTAGATCTGTTTTGTATACACATTCCATTATTCAGAGTTTTTCTATGTAGCATTTTACAGTGATTGTAGTTGGTAGCTCATAAAAACCATATGCTCGTTTAAACCGTTAAAACATGATAGAACAGTCTGAAAATCCAGATCATATGTGCAGTCTTCCAATTCGCAATTGTCTCCCCTGATCGTACATAATTGTTCGAAGATATACCAGTAAAATCAAGTAATGATTGCTTTACGCATTCTGGTTTGTTTCAAACATGAATTGTTCAAATAGCAGGGAAAAAGCGTGCCATTAGAAGTCCAACCTTCAGTCTCCAAAATCCAACTTTTTCCGTGCTTTTAGCACATCAGCATTCGTGTAACAAAAAGATACTTCAAGTATCCTTTTTGTTTGTGATTCCATTCCACGTTTTACCAACAAACGTTCTACAGGCACACTTTAAGACCAATGACACACTAAAAGTGTGTTACCATAGTAAAACAAAAAGCATTGGCACAAGCGCACTCTTAGACGTCAGGTTAGTCAATTACCTGAGAAAAACCGTTGATTTTTCTGTTATATGGGAGATTGTGGCAAATATGAGTTCGTATGAATTGTGTAGAACCCATATAGAGTTAGTAGCTAATATAGTTTTTATCGATCACTTATATTGTATGCTAAATGGTCTGATAAACAGGAACTGATTCGGTTTGTTTTAACAGTTTGAACACGCACGTAAATCATCGGCAAAACTAAGTGAATCAAGTTTATAATACGTAAATATAACATGCCTCCTATGTGATAAAATATGTTTCATTTCGTCGAATTTCAGAGATGGGCTAGTGCGAGTATTTACTTGTACTAAAGAATATAGATATTTTAATTGGAATGATTCTAGTTAGAGTTTAATATTAAACGAAAGTAGTTATAATAGTACCTCTTTCACTTACTTCGTCTTGAACACCTTTAAAAGATGAGTTCTCTTATGGGATATCGGTCTATTTTGTCGCAGGGTTTATTCGTATGACACAACACGAGAGAAGAATTAAACAGTATGCATGTTTTAAATACAAAAGATGAAATGTATAAATGAGAATTATTAGTAGATATAGTCACCAGCGTTAAAACTGAATTCAGTACATTCGTACCGAGTCGTTCGATTTAATAAAAACGTTGAGCGATTTTATAATAAAACTAGGGCGGTGACAGTTATCATTAGCGTTACAGTAACTGTAACTGCTGAACAGTTGACGTTCTTGGTAACGGCAACGGGTAAGCAGTTACCGTACAAGTAACGATAACAACCAGTTACAAGTAACGGTAACTGTTCAGTATATCTTTCAAGAGTCAAATCTCTAAATATCTAGCTATCCAGGGTGAGGGTGGAAGTTCGTAGCTTCATCCTCACCCTGGATAGCTAGATATTTAGAGATTTGACTCTTGAAAGATATACTGAACAGTTACCGTTACTTGTAACTGGTCGTTATCGTTACTTGTACGGTAACTGCTTACCCGTTACCGTTACCAAGAACGTCAACTGTTCAGCAGTTACAGTTACTGTAACGCTAATGGTAACTGTCACAGCCCTAAATAAAACTCGTTAAGCATTGTTTTGGCTGACATCCTCACTAACCAAATTAAAAGACAGTCAAAGATCGGGTACTTATTTTTGGCAATGGAAAGTTACCTTATGAAAAATATACAAGAAGCAATACAGACTTTTTGTTTCTTGTTAACATATTCATTGTGCTATCGAAAAATTTGTTTCTTTTAACAACATATGAGATTAAACGATGAAAAAGATGCAATAAGGAGAGAGAAGTCAGAAGGAATTCATATAGATAAAAAGTACAGAATTGTTGAATGTTTCGAGCTTCGTGGTTAGCAACAACGTATTAAATGCATCATTGGATTATGAAGGTGCGGATATATGTTAGAAATATATCAGAAAAAATATATGGATTTCATAATGGTTTTATATTGAACACATCTTATTTCCGAAATCAAAAAACCAATATACTTTTTTGTTTGAATATTTCACAATATCTGTAACACAAAATAACAAAAAAATAAAAATATGAGGTTAAATACAAAAAAAAAATAACATGTTCGAATTAACAAATAGATTTAAGATCGTCTTGATGAATAATAACTACTATTGTTATTTGGAAATCGTAACGGCAATGGCGCTTGTATAGAAGGATCAGAATAAAGTTGAGTGTTAGAAGACGTTGGCTGTTGTATATCCGATCGTTGACTGTTATAATTACTTGAGTACGAATAATTATCACTGTTACAATCGTTTTGTTGATGACGATGATGTTCATTGTTGTTGTGCTTGTATTCACGTTCATATCTGGTCGATTTTTGTTCAGAATTATTCCCATCAATCACTTTTTCAGTTGAAAAAAGTGATGGCCACTGCGTTACATTTGGTAGTGGTTGAACATCTGTGGTGATTGTTTTGACTGAAGCCGTGTTGCCATTTGCACTACAATAGAATAAAAACTGAGACCTTTTTTAATGTTGTTTTTTTGAAGCCAATGTATTTACGTGATTGCTGTTCGAAGTTTTAAATCTTCACAATATTTTTCCATTTGATGACCGCGTGCTGTGTTAAATGCTAGTTAAAAAAACAAAAACTGAAACACTGATGGTATATTCGGATCAGAATATAAAATTTACCATCAATAGCATCTTGAGGCGATTTGTTCAAATATTCAATTATATATCTAAATAAAATTTAGAACAGCTTTATTGGAAATGATTTCGTTTTTTTTTCTTAAATACCTTGTGATCAAATATCCAGTTCTATTCAAACCATGTGTACAATGGACGCCAATTAATTTTTCTAAAGAATTGAACATGAATCATTTCTTTTTAAATCATTATGAAAAAACAGTACATTTGGAGGGCATATCAAGTCTCGATTCAGATAAATAATAAAAACGTAGATCAACCTTCGTTTGTGTTGGACAAACACGAAAATGTTTTTTTTATTACTTTTCAAAGCAGTTCCCTGACATAGATATTAACTATTTACCGTTGTCTTGATTTTGTTCAAGAAATGATTTGACAACACCAGCAAATTGTTGATAACATTCTTCACTAGGAATATTATGATGGCCAGGTGTCATCATTTTATGATATTTTATCCTAGCGTCGGCAATATCCTGAAAAAGAAGAAGAATTATGATAATCAAAAATGAACTAAAGAAAAGTTTAGTCTCTTACAATTGGTTTATAATAACGTTCTGTATTTGTTAGATCAATAATAAGTCCAAGTTCTTGTCCTTGATCATCTAATTTTTCAACAAGATCACCTAGTGTGAACCGCATATCTGCTGGTAAATTCTTTTGTAATTCCTAAAGCGAAAAATATTTTGAATACATTTGTTGTTGTTGTTGTTGTTTATTTGTCTATCGCACGTATACATACAGGTTTCAATGGACATTTGAATGCAACAAAACGTGTTCCAGGAATTGGTTGATGTACACCATTATAATCGAGCCAACTAAACACACATCATTTCACGCTATGTGTCACTCACTTAAGATTAAACTTACCGGTCAGGTATCCCCCCTCCATATGGAGATTTCTTTTTTTTATCATCTCTATGTGTTTGACGATATCTTATCTGTTTATATGCGAAATCTCCCATCTTCTGAAAGAAATAGTGGAAACTTTCTTTAATATTTATTTGTTTTTACAGTGATGACAAATATGATGTAACAGAAATGAGAGAAATATTACAATCGATGAATATTTCAATGGAATCCTATGCAACAAATTTGTAAAGATTTTCTATTTTCATTCAAACTTTAAATACAAAATTCAGCTGACGTTTAAATTCTTTTCTTGCTTGACATACTAGTAATACAGAATCGGTTAAAAGAGAACTATCTGATAGGCATAAGGAAAAAAGATAGTTCCTAACTTCTAATCATCAGTTCTACAAATAAAGCATCTGTTTCTATAATGAACTCTTCAATATTTTAGAAGTATATATAACCAGATACCAAGTTCATAAGAATTTGTTAGCAAATTAAGTACCAGAATAAATTTGTTTTCAATATTTTAATAGTGATATACTTACGTGATTAACAAATGAAACAAATCAATACAAAAAAATTCTCGGAGTTTATTTTTTTATGTTTTTATTTTCTCGTAAAAGTATATCTGTTCGTGCACATATGTGGTAGGTATACAAAATAAATCCAACAAAAAACAAATCCGAAACAAGAGAAACATTATTTGTCGTATTAAAAAACAGTTTTACTGCGATAGTTTCAGAAAATAAAATAATAAAGCACAAAAATGTATTACTAACCTACATCTACCTGATATCAATGAAAAAACGGGAAAATTTTAATGTGTTTGACTATTATTCCCCAAGCACTATCTGTCTGTTCGCTCATATTCGCTTCTTGACTAGAAAAAAGACCTAAGCACAAGAGTTGTGTGCCATACGGATATTTTTATTCTAATTATTTCAAAAATCTTCGATTTTCATCCATCAACACAAAAAAAAAAGAAAAAAAACTTTATTTGTAAATAAAAGATATTTTCTTATAGAAAAATAGTAGACGGCATTTCAAGAGAAAAAAGTATTACTGTATTATGCTTAATTGCTTGGTTCTCTTTCGAAGAGAAAGGCACAACACAGACACAGGCACAGTGTTTGTAAACTAACAAGTCTAATGGTAAATATTTTTGAGCAATAACAACACGTTCATAATAGTAGAAAAACAAACACATGTAAAGATATATATACATATACAAAAAACAAACAAATAACAAATCTATCGTGCAACAAGTATTAAAAAAAGAAGAAGGAAGATATCAATGTGTAGAATAAATACATATATACTGTTGAATTATGTGCTTAATCAAGTGCGATTAAATTTTCAGGTTTTGTTCTTTGTTTATGTGATGCTGATTCTTTCAAACGATGATACCATATGTTAGCAACAGATGAATTTTCTACGCGAAATTTATACATTGTACCTATAAATAAAAAGATGTATGTATTTCATTTATGTTTAATATCAGTTAGACAAACTATTCTATTTTTTCATTATAACAGTAACTACATGCAAACTCTGATCAGTGATAACAATTTTTAATTCCTATACTTGATTAAGGAAGTTTTATATTAAAAGCAATATTCTAATTAATAAAATAGATATGAAATACTTATGGTATTACCTTTATTTAAATCGCTTAATTGAATTTCATTTCTATTTTTTGCTTGAATAAGTACAATTAACCAATCGGATATCGATTGACATTTATGGGGATTTTGTCTAAAAAGTTTTCGATCACTGTCTGTTAAATTTGTTGTCATTGTTTCAATTTCATTATTATTACTATTTTTATTTAAACGATGATTTTTTATTCTTGTATGTAATGTAAAACGTTTTGGTTTATAGAAAAATAGTAAATGTTCACAAATGGCTACCCAATATTTATGCCATGTTGTTAATGTTGGTTTTTTATAATTTTTTAATAAACATTTTCGTTGTAAACATCCTTCAAAATTAAAATTATTTTGTATTAGAATATCATTCAGTGGATTTAATGGTTCTTTCATTGATAATGATGACAGTGAGATAGACAAAGCAGTTGTATGATGATGATGTTGTTTTGACAGTTTAATAGCAGCCTTTGCTTTTTTAATAGCTTGTTCACATGAGTCATTTGAATCACTACCTAAAAATGTAAATAATTTAAATTTTTCTTTTAAAAAATAATATGCATAGTTTTTACATTGATATCTATACAATGCACTGTTAATTAAACAATGTTAAAAATATATTCTGTCAGACATTTGTAACAGAAAAACATGATATTAAAGAAACAACACACAAAAGTCGATTTATTAATGTATTCATTTAAAACATAATCGATATATTTTCAGTCTAAATTTATATTTTCCTTAGTTTGCATTTATAGAGATGAGATACTAAAAGACTAATTTTCTGTCAAGATTATTGAAAACAATATCAGAAGATAAGTAAAGTGCTTTTCCCAATATTCTTATCGATTTTTCTTTATAATACATATTCGTTTGTGTATTTTGAGTGCTTTCTGCACATCTTCACAGACTATTTGATAATAGATCGATATCTCTGAGTCATACATCAATCCAATATTTTTCACTGCTATCGAAACAGAAGTCACAATGAATATAATTACCAGAAAAAAACTATAGACATGTAGATGTATATCATCTGTATGACGTCTCTTACACAAACAATAACACTTTGAAAAATAATGAATCATGAGAAAATAGCTTTCTCTCTTTCCTTATTTTCTACTGTCGATGTAAGTATTATATTGTACCGGAAATAAGTAAACAAAAATAAATTATACTACGCATTTTAACATGAATGAGAAAGAAAACAAATTCAGATCATGATTCACATGTAAATTATGATTAAAACGTCGAGCGTCATTCTCAAACTATTTATGTACAATGTATCATAATAATTAACAAAAATAGCTAAAAAGTGGCAATAAATTAGACATAAAACAGTATAAAGTGATAATTTTAATCATTTTATGGAAATTTGGAATGCCGTCATCAGTAGTGAATGATAGACTTCTTTTCAGAGATTTCTCGACGTATGTTAGAAATTTACAAGAAGTTTCACCATTGCATTTATACAAATTTACATGCATTCCTGCTCAATAGTCACAAGAAGCAAATAAAGCGTATCCAACGTCGATTAGTACATGTAGAAAGTGCTAGTATTAAAGACGTAACTAACATCAGATGAAAGCAATTATATATTATAAAGCAAGCATAGAACGACGAGAAAATATGTTTAAAGCAAGATAAATGTTACAGTACAAATTAAAATTTAGTAAAATTTTAAATTTTAATCTCTACTAGTGGAAAATAAAATGCAGATGCTTGCACATGGACTGAGGCCATGTATTATCTATAACCTAAACTTTGAACTGTAAGAACGGGATTCCAGAACTGGATGAGAACATCCGAGGACATTGCAAGATGTGAGAGTGAGTGATAAAACAATATCCCAAGTGATATGGTCTGACACATTTCTAGGCTTCGTACTTTTTGTTGTTTTGTCACTCACACTCACATCTTGCAATGTCCTCGGATGTTCTCATTCAGTTCTGGAAGCCCGATCTTACAGTTCAAACTTTAGGTTATAGATAATACATGGCCTCAGTCCATGTGCAAGCATCTGCATTTTATTTTCCACTAGTAGAGATTAAAATTTTAATCTTCATTGGAAAATTGGAATTTTAATTTGAACTGCAACATAAATATGAAACCAAATGATAAATGAAGAGAGAAAAATGTCATTTGGAACATAATAAAGCAAAAATCAGACGTACAGTGAAAATAATACTTTTACCTTTCAATAGTAGATCTGAAAATGATATATAGACATATGATAGAAATTTTTTGTTCTTTTGTATATAAAAAATCTATTGGTACCATGAGGAGTTCACTCTCACTACCAGAAATACCGCTTATGAACTCTTTGAACTATTGTTTTTCAAAAAGAAAACGAAGCTATCTTTTTCTGATCAACTGTAATACAACCAAAATACTTTACAGCTCATCACTTACTTGAACGAGTTTCTTCTGTAACACAATCAGATAAAACACTATCATCAAGAAGACTTTTTTTTTCATGCATCCTACATGGTAATGTGGCAGATTTTGATGATAATGTTAGATGCATTGTACTAGAAGTAAATAAATATAAACAGTCTTATAAGCATCTTATAGGGTATAAGAACAAACATACTCTTTGTAATCGCTCAATGTTCGACGATGACATGTATTTTGATTACTATTATTTTCGATAGATACTTTAAGTGATGCTGATTTTTCAAGATTCTTTAACGATTTTTCTGTTGTGTAATGATCATTAATGTCAATAAATTCTGGTTCAAGTACTATCGACTGTCTGAATAATAAAGAGAAAGATACGACATTATTTTTGAAAACTCTTATATTGGGTATCCGACATACTTAAAGTTAGAATCTTCTATAAATGTTTGTAATTCTTCCATATATCTTACAGATAGTAAATAATTTTGTACATAATCCAATGGTTTTAGAAAATCTAACAAAATAAAATACAAAACGTTAAAAAAAGTTTCATTAATAAGTAATTTTCTTATACCATAATTAGATTGCTGAAATTCTGATATCATTCGACATATGTTATTCATAGCATTTTTTCTTTGACTAGTCTCTAAACCACCACTATGTGGATGTAATGTATCAATTCGTATTATATCAGTTAAAAATATGCCTGAAAAACGTATAAAAGATAAATATCTTCAATGATCATGATTGAGTTTTAAATATGCATACCTAAATACGGTATACATGGGAGTTTTGTGTTTGATAAATGATGCCGAAGTTTTTTCCAATTTTCATTTGATGATACAAATTCTTTAAGATATGAAAATGTTGTTCGATCTCGTTTACTTAAACCCTACAAATGATTCGAAAAACTTTTTTTTAACATCAACCTTAACCTGGCTATATGCATACTTACGGCCCACGTTTTTTGTAATCTATAAATTGGAGCACTTTGTAGCGCCATAACAACAGCCATACATCCATTGATATTATTATTTTGGTGAAATAATTTCTAAACAATTTGAAAAAAAGAAAACATTCATTTTTCACCATTAATATTTCTTTTCAGTGACATACTTTGGCTATTCTGATGAAATGTGATAAAATCTCTGTACGATTTTTTAAAATATCAGCCCGTAGTAGTTCTCCTTGTACCCAAAAATTGACCTGAAAACAAACATTCATGTCAAATAATCATTGTATAGCCTTGTTATATACTCATCTTACTTGATTAAATCGTCTAGTGAATTGTACAATATGATATGCTTTTTCAAGTTTTGCTTTTGAATTCCAACCACAACTAGTCATTTCCTATATCAAAGCAAAAAAACCAGTGATAAATGACTTTAGAAAAAGTACAATAAGAAAAACGTACATCTGGCGTGATTGCTTTGAATACGGGAAGATCCAAGAGCGTGATTTGAGACTGAAAAAGAAAAGATAAAAAGAATTGATCAAATTTCAATCATAATTGTCCATAGAACGTCAAACAGTCTCAGTAACTATTAAACCGTAACAGAACGCTGCCTAATACAGCATTCTGATTATAGCCAAATTTATTCGTTATTTACAACTTTTACTCTCATTTATCAGATATGATGTACTTTCATTCAATAACAGGTTTAAGTATGAAATTTCTCAACATGATTGATCGATGAATCTGTTTTTAACAAAAGTAATCACAAATTTTATCTATTTTTAGTCTGTTCGACTCATCCAGTTAAATCGATCGACAGCAGGCTTTTGTGTATGTTTATTATCATTTGATTGCGATGATTTTTTACATCTGAAAACATTTGATATGTCTATGTTATTGGTTTTCTATATACATCATTTGTTTTTCAAGATGTTTTTGGTTTACATCGTAAGATATAGGAGGCAGAACCATAAGAACAATAAACAACGCCTCATAGGTTTTTTCAAATATAAGAAAGCGTGGGCACGGGATGTTGAGCGGATCGCACAACTTAAAAGACTTATTTCTTTAAATTGGTCATATAATCAATACACCTTTCGTATTTCTGACTCCTTTTTCTCTGTTTGTTACAAGTGTATATTGATGAACTATAGAAAAACGAGAGTTGAACTTCTATTTGTCCCCACCTACTCACACTTATTTTAGATGCCGATGTATCGGAGTAAATAAAAATAAAATTTTCTATGCGTGAATATTGAAAAAATATTTCAATATTTATCTTTAATTTTCCCCTAAAAAGATCATTTCCCCCGCTTCTAACGTGCTTCATCGTCTCTGTTGCCAGTAAGTCGAAATTTTAGAGTCAATACGAGAACTTTTGATGTACGAGACTAAATACATCATAAACGATCATCAAACATTTTCTTTCTGTATAGATTGATATTTGCTCAAAAAGTAAAATCAGCAACAAAATTTGTAAATTGGAGATTAGGCTAAATCAATCACTATACTTGATCGAAGGAAAAGGCATATGAGAAAAACTTTATCAACATATTTTCTATTGTATTTTTCCAGTTAACTTAACTTCTATTATCTATTTCATTTCATAATTAAATTTTATGTGTCAATAATAATCCATTAACTTACCGCAAAATCTTCAGGATCAACTTTGAGAACATCGAACAACGTTGTATCATACACTTTATAATTTTTAACTGTATTTGTTACCTCATCATCATACGATAGATCAGAAAAACCGTTGCTAGTGTTATTATTATTATTAATATTATTTAAATCTAGTTCTTCTGATAATAACGAGTGGGCCACGTTACTGATATTCATTATCAATTAAACTAAAAGAAATAAAAAAGAAATACAAAATACAAAGTTATAAAATTGATAACATCTTTTACACACAACTAAGAATTAATTTTAGAAAAATTAGTTGATTAATAAAAAGTGTTCTAATAGTAGAAAATATAAAATAAAAAACAATAATACTGTGTTACATAATCATATCATATCATAGGATGTCATTTTGAAAATTGATAATTTCTTTTGACAGATTAACGTGAGAAAAAATATTTAATAACAAAAATATTGCCACTTTGTATAATGACAATAATGATGTTCATAAAATGGATATTTTCTAATATTATTTTATTGGAAAATAAGATATTCGTCTAATATTTTAACTAATAGTCTTTTATTGACAAGTGTAGAGAATGGAGTTTAATTTAAAAAAAATATTGATTTTAGATACAAATGTATCAAGGGAAAAGAGCATCTAGGTAAACGAGTAATAAATAATAATGCAGTTCATTTCAAATCCTTGGAGCGAGAAAGTAAAATAGTACATAATATTGTTGACAGTAGGCACTTATAACTTAATATTTTTCTCTTAACATATGGGTAGGTCTAGATCTATCTCATCTAATAGCATACAGATATATAAATATTTTTTTATTACACAGAAATAATGAAACATTTCTGCCACTATATCTTCTTTTCTCTCTTTCTCTATTATTCTCAAAAACAGAACACATACTTTTTCTTTTGTTAGTTCTTCTTTTTTATCGATTAATGGATGACACTCGACGACTAATAAATAGAAAAAAAGCAAAAAAAAAAAATAAAAAATAGCTAATAATGATTGAGATAAAAATGAAAAAAATTAGAAATGAATAAGGTGAGATAAAAATCAATGAATGATAAAAAAGAAAGAGAGAAAAAAATAGTTAGAAAATTTATGTTTCAAAAATATAATCATCCATTTGTATTCATTCAATAAAATATGAAACATTAACAGGTTTGAGTATTTATTCTAATTAAATCGATTCATTCAAAAAAAAACAATGCCGAAGGAGAGCTTCTGTTTACTAATAAATCAATCAATTGTCCTATTCAATGTATAGCAAACAAAATAAAATAAAAAAGGTTGAACATAGATATCTTCAATATAACAATTTCTAGAAGAGAAAAACTATCAGTCAATATTGAATACAGAACAGAATTGAACATATATAACAAGAATCAAGAGAACAGAGAGAGGAGGGAGAGGAGAAGCAGAACGGTAGTGTACATATTTCAACATAGTTACTCTACGTAAGATAAAGACATTATGTAAAGTGATACATTTTTCGCTACTTTTTTGGAGTGTACTAAAGAATATGGCTCTTGTCGAGAGCACGTTACGTATCATAAAAATAAAGGAAGTAATTAAGATGAGACAGCTAAGTCGACACTTACGAGTAATATCTTATCATTTAAAAAAAATGAAATTCCCATTTTTTCCCAATTCCCAACTTGGAAGAAAAGTTTCATTTCGTCTAAATGACGAATGACGTCTGCTACAAGTATCGAACTTCTTTACTCTTACTGAGAAAAGGGCACAAGAGAGAAAAGTGCCAATATTAATGATAACTAATAGAAAAATTTCAGTATTATCAAACATCATTACAGAGAAATATTATTTGCTATTCAAATGAAAACTCATGAATATCGTTAGACATTGATCATTTACTTCAGATCATAAACAGTTTCATTGTGTAAATGAAAATTTGAATAATTCTCTGATGTATCAGCTTTAGTTCCTCTTTGAAACAGCAATGTTCATTATTCGACAAATAATCAATTCAATTTCAAGAAAATGAATAGAATTGACATTGACAATAGTTCATCTTAAGACTTTTTACGATTAATTTCTTGATTAGAATCGTCCCATCTTTCAAGATAAAACGCCTACGATAAAATACGTGATATGATATTATTTTCTAATTTTTAAAAGTGTTAAATCAAGGACAGATATAGTCAAAAAACAACAACAATACGACATTTATTTTTAATAGAAGGTGTAAAATTATGTTTTCAAGCTTAACATTTTTTTTGTTCATGTGAACTTACATTTACGGCCAATAAATAATGAAAATCAGACAAAAACTTATTGAGATGCTGTATAATATAGACACATACACACTTCTACCGTACACATATAACTAGATGAATATATATATTACTCAAAAAAAAAAAGTTCTTTCTCTCTTACTCATTCATTTTCTGCCATGCACACGTACGAATGCATATGGGTTTTTTCTTTTTTTTTTTTTTTTTGTTGTTGTACAGAATATATATATATATATATATACATGAATGCTGAGCATTTTTTCATAGTAGTAATATTACTTCGTCGACTGCACATCGATGATTATTAGGTTGAGGGAATTATGGTATGTGTAACTTATCAAATGAATTGAATATATTGAAAAACGAAGAAAAGAAAAGAAGAAAAAAAAAAAAAGATGGACTTGTCTTTAATGACCTCTTTTGTATGTACATCTTGAACTCACTTTCACTCACAGTTAGAATGAGGAATATATGCCTCCAACAGTTTTGTCCTATATAGTCATGATTTCTTTCCGTTATTTTACTTTATTTTATTTTTCTCATTCAATGTGTACAAACAGGTTTTTATGGAAAAAGACAAGCATCAACTATGAGAAGAAAAAAAAGAACAGAAAGTAAAACCTTTTTTTAAACAATCAAGATTGAATTACACATACAAAAAAAAACAAAAAAAACATCTTTCATTCTTATATTAATTTGAAAACGATGAAGAAACATTTTGTCTTATGGATATTTAATACTAACGAATAATTTGAAATATAAGAGAAAGAAAACACTAGATATTAGAATATTAAAAAACTTACAAATTATTAACGTACAAACAAAATTTATCAATGATTTTAATACGATGAAAATAATTAAAATAAGTTATCAGTAGGAATGATAAAAGCACAATTATCGTTTAGATTCGACGCAAAAATAGACATGAATGAGACTAAAATCTTTTTGTTTCCAATGAAAAAATGTTCTCATAAAATACGCGAAGGATGCAGATATGTAGACAGTGAACCTATGAACAGTCACATCGATGATAATCTTATATAAACTTTTTTTTTTCTTTTTTTTTGGCTTTTTTTTCAATGAATAAAATTCATTGTATTTTTTGAAGATTTTAGTGATTTGATAAAGTTTGCATGAAACAGTAAATGGATTAGTTAGAAAAATTAAGATCAAGAAAAAAATTGTCAAATTTCTTGTAACGATTTTCTTACAAAAAAAAAAAGTTTCTATTAAATATAAAAAAACCGGTAAATTTCTTTTTTTTTTACGAAATTGTCTCACCCATATCTACTCGGAAAAAGTTATGCCAATGGCGAAGCAACCTGAATTAACTACGAGTAAGAAAAAAAAAATTTAATTTTGTTTATGCATCACAAATATACAGTGCAACTTTTTTTGTATACATAAAAAAGAAATTAAGCTGAGTCCCACAATTCGATCATGCGAATCACAAAATTTATTATAATAGGATTAAATATGTCAGCTAGTCAAGGTAAATTGTTCAGTCATTAATGCAATAAATGTTATACTTAAATATTTATTATGATGTATAATTTAGTATGAGTTATATTATTAAAAAATAGACGATTCTTTGTTTTTTCTCTAACACACTAAAACAATCAATTTGTCAAGGTTTAATTGTAGTACATACATCCCTTGACTATCATATATTTTATTTAGAGAGAGATAGAGACAGATACACACTTTGAATTTACTTCGAAAACATGTAGAAAAAATAAAAACAAGAATAACGACAACATTGACCTACGGAGTGACAACACCTATACACGACACATGTAGACTTTGTACTATTTGTATTTATACAACAAAAATGTTTAATAAATCCTTGTTTTCACTTAACTTTAGAAAAATATAATCATTGACTCCATTGGTAAAGAAACCTGTTTTTATTTTTATAATTAATTTTGACTTCCATCAAATCTTAGCCTATAGATAGATTGGTAATTTAGGATGGTAATAAAAAAAATATGTCTGTTCCAAATAGATTTGTATTTAGTACTAGACAATAGACTTCTTTTCTATACAAAATGTAAAATTCTTTTTTCTTCTTCTTCTTCTTCTTTCTTCTGACTATGAGAAAAGAGGAATGAAGATGTGGCCATTTTTTGTTATTTTTTTATTGAAAGATAATTGTCCATGATGAATGACGGACATCATACAGATTTTTAACATCATAAAAAATAAATTTGAGTAGTAAATAACAAAGGATGAAATATCTACATATCATATACTTATATCGATAATGAAGAACAGACAACGTACTAATGGATGTTTTAGTTTTAAGTAATTGTACTATAGTTTTATTAGTAATTTTCTTGATCAGATCTATACTCTGTTTGATCAAAAACCATTTATATGACACATTGTTACAGTTAAAAAAAAGAAGAAAATATTGAGCATTATAAAAAAATGCTCATATATAAACAAATAATCAATCTTACCTCTATAAAAATAACATAATAAAAATGCTAAAAATAACAGATTCGTCGGTATTACAATCGTCATGATTAATAAATAAAAATAGTTATAGATAATAGCAAATACTAAAGTAATATTTATATACACAAATTTATCTAGAAGAAAGAGTAGAGAAGATAGATGCTAAAAATGGAAATAATAATGGATTTTTCGTGCAAATGTACATAAAAGAAAACAAAACAAAAAAACGAGAAGAATAACAGCAACTAGAACTATTTGAAGAATCTAATTAGTGTATATAGTTAAATGATTCGTCTCTTTAGACAAAGATAAATAAAAACTGTTCAAAATTTTTCACTAATAACGAGATCAATAGACACACTCTGAAATATTTCTATGACATTGACCTCTGATATTTACAATAGAAAATTTGATAATTTAGGTAAAAGATTAAAAAACTGTCAGATGTTAGAGAAAATTTGCTTCTAACTCTTACACTTAAATAGTATATTTTTTTTCAAAATATTTTGTTCTGTTATTTTTTTTTTTTATGACGAATAATCGATGCACGCAGCCACATCTGTGACAAGGAAAAAAAAAAGAAGAAAAACATAAAAACAAACCGTAATGATCGACAATTAAATACTAATCTATAACAAGGGATTTTTATTTCAAGGGTTTATTTTGAGTTATAAATTATAGTCGATAATATTAAAAATTTTATTTTAATTCAAACTTGTTAGTTTTTTCATTGTAAAAATAAAATATCCTCATCAAAATACTTACTATAACAATGGTTCTAACTCCTTAATCTTTTCTTCTTCTACTTACCATGCTTTACTATGTGTCTTATCATTTTTGATAACAAATAGAAAATGAAAGTGTGGGTGCCGTGATAGAGCTCTCGGTATGTCAACATTGTTGAAATTCTTATTTATACATAGAGTTAATCATTACAAGTTGTTGATTCACTTTTAAACAACAACAAAAAAAGAAGAAAAGCCACAAGATTTGTTCAAAGCGAAGGAAAAAAAAGAAAGTCCATTAAAAAGTCATAATACTTGTAAAAAAAACGTGAATGTATAAAGGAAAATGTGAACAACGGGATTAGTGAAATAAAATTAAAAAAAAAAGAAAAGCCAGTTTTTGTCGCCCTATATAAACAAATGAAATTTTTAAAAAATTTAAAGAAAAAAAATAACAATAAATCTTTACATATAAACTAAGTGTTGATTAATTAATCGATATTTCGATCGATTATTTCCCATAACCCAAACATGATTTCGACACTTTTTTCGCTACTTTTATGTCTTTATATCTTTCAAACAAAAAAACGCTCTAAGCGCGTGATTATTATAATTTGGGAAGAAAAGTGTGCTTAATAACGTGAGACGTGTCAGAACTCTCTAAGGCTCTTGGTTATGAAGATCTATATATCAATACAATGAAGACATCCTTTGTCTAGAAAAAGAAAATTTTCTAAGAGTTTTGTGGAAAATCTTCACCATATCTTCATAATGAACAATGTTAGAGACCCCAAGTTGTCGAAACCGGACGAAAACTGTCGGTTAACCACGGTTATTTTAAGAACCGATGATTAACCGTCGACTAACCGACCGTTTTTCCGGTTAATTGTGAGGTTAACCGTCGGTTTTCGTCCGGTTTCGACAACATGGTAGGACTGGCCGATTCCAAGTCCAGACTGAAAAGTTTTTGATGGACTGGAACTGGTACTTGGACTGGAGATTTTTTTGAAGAACTCAGACTCGAACTTGTGTTTTTGTATTTCGAGTCCGATCGAACTTTTAACATAAATAAACAGCGAAATTTGCATTTTTCAATATTAGTATAGGGTATATAGACGCACATGTATTGCTTCCTTTAAAAAATATACTTAAAAAATGTGTTATACGGCATAGGAGAAAAAAGAACTTTAAATAATGACAACGAAAAAAGTTTGAAAAAATTATTGGATTCAAAATGGACTTAGAGCTTGCGACTGCATTTCAAGGACTCAGATTCGGATTCGATTTGCTCGCTTCATGACTTGACTTCGACTTTGCCCAATTCTGATTAGAGCACCCTAACACGTCTCATCTTATTAAGCACACGTTGTTTAAAAACTATGACAATCACAAGTTCCGAGTGTCCTTCTGTTCAAACGATATAAAGACAAGAAAATAGCGAAAAAAGTGTCTACTTTTTACTAAGAGCAAAACGGTTTGTTAACCAGCAATTTTCCAGTACCCGTTATTATCGTTTTTCATAAGTTTTAATTAAAAAAAAAAATTCACTCCTTAAAATTTAAAACAAAATTTTTCTTCTAAACGTATCAACATCAATTCATGCTTCAAAAATCAACAAAACAGGCTTCAAATATTACTACACATTTCTGCTATGAAAAACCCGTGTGACCAAGCTTGTACACTTTAGTAGATATTTGACCACTATATATTTGAATAAATTGAAGTCTGTAGAATTGTAGAGAAAACTAACATCTAATGATATAATAATTCAAATTTATTTTAAATAAAATAAAATAGAAATCAATATATTGTATTTTTATTTAAAAAATACAAAAAAAGAAAAAAGACTTATCTAAAATATCCAGAATATTATCTATAAAATATATTAAAGCCATGTTACATCATCACCACCTCCAATTCCTTTATAAAGTTTTAACTGTATTCTATTAGATTGTCCTATTTCATTTCTAAAAGTAATTGGATTTGATAAATAATAACGAAGAAGATCAGATATTTTACAAAATGTCTAAAGGAAAAAAAATATAAATAAAAATTTATTTATTAAATTATTTATTTATCTTAAAATACCGGTGTTTCATTTAAATTCACTCTATCTAATGGACCAATCATAAATCTATTATTCGTACTTTGACCAATTTGAAAATGATAAATAAGAGCAGAAGTATACACGCTCAATGAATAGGGATGTCTTGCATGCCCAGATGGACGAAGTATGAAATTTCCTTCCTATAAGACAAAAAAATAAATAATATATATTTTGAAAATTTAAATCAAACTCAAGATCTTTTCATTATACCTGAACATTCACCGTCTTTTTCAGTAAGTAGTCTGCTTCATCTCTTGTGCACAGTATTGTACAATGATCAGTAACTACTATTACGGGCGCCTAAAAATTGAATACTTTCTTCTACAATAATACTTTAAATTTTCTAAAAGATACTCAACATACCACATATCTACCACATGGAGGAACTTCTTCTAAATAAGAAGAATGGTGTCAAGAAAATACAAACATCAGAAAAAGATGTAAGAAATAAAAAAAACATTACCGTGATTTATTAGTTTTTGACGATATTCTTCTGAAAAATGAAAACAAACATTAGAAGAAAAAATTTTCTCAAAATCAGAGAAAAGAAATGGCTAATTTTAAATGGCTAAAAGTTTAATCTTCGATAATCATGATGAGAAAAAAACGTTTTAAAAGAAGAAGAAGATAATGAGTATAACGATAAAGTATTACCTTCTAACTCTTCCTGTACACAAAACAACAAAAATCATCAAATTCATGCACATATAAAAACATATAAAAGAACATACTTCTTCGTCTGTAAAGTATGGATCGCATTCATCATTTATGTCCGACATTCCATCAAGTTCAAGTTAATCCAAAAGTAAAAAATGAAAGTGTATATATTACTATCAAAGTTAATTCAAGAATAGCGCACATGATTCAACTTTCATTAGTATTCTCATAGTGACAAAATATTAAAAATAAGACATTTATTTCTACATACATCATAATGAAATCAATTTAAATTAAACAAAAATTCTTTGAAAAAAAAGTAAATAAACTTGTTGTATTTGTCATCTTTATCCATAAGTTTCAACACCTCCTTTTTCTTCCTCGTTTTCGATAACTGATGGATTAAATTGTAGTTTAACAACGCCAACACAATGATCAACTAATTTTATATCATGCGTATGATAGTAATCAATTAAACTAGCAATCGTATCAAATGTCTTTAAAAAAAAAGAAGAAAAACAATAGTAAAATGACTGTATGTATATTTTTAGTCTAAATTAATTATTTACTTACTTCAGCGTCTGTTTCAGTATCACATTTATAAGCTAGTTGATAACGTTTATTTGCTAATTGTTTAATTCTTATATTTGTAGCTACGCCATTATACCATAAAGAAATTGTACATTTTGCGTCAGAGTGTTGACTTGGACGAACAAAAAAATTACCATTCTATTAATGAAATTTCTCAATTTCAATGTATATATATCTAATGATGAAGAGTATGGCCAGTTTATAGTACCTCGATTGTTTCACAATTTTCAAGAATGTTTTTGGCTGTAGTTGAATCTAAACAATTTTCTATATACCATGGATAACTATTCAGTTGTTCATACTTCAACTGAAATAAAAATGTTATAAGAAATACATGATCGATAGTGTTTTCAATGTTTTTTTACCGGTATAATATATGGCGATGTTTCAGAGGAAGGAGGTGATGAAGTTGGAGGTAAAGGTATCTCTCGCGAAATTTGTCCACCTAGTAACAGAAATAGTTTTAAGTTTTGGTCATCATCGTGTACGGGGGCGTCTATCCTATTCACACATTCTTTATATCAATTAATTCTTTATTTCTGCATAATATAGATACACGAGTAGACAGTAAAGAATTTGATTCGATTAAAAAGTGAATTTTACTATCTTGTCTTCAATAAACAAACATTATAAAGAAAACCACATGCCTCAACTTTTCGATCGAACCCTAATATATTGAGAGACTCCCATAGGACATTCTTGATAACAGCATAGATGGCCAAATATGAAGATTCAGTATATATGTGGAAAAATGAACTCTGATAATTCAGTATCATATATTAGAGGTCACATGCAACTGGACTGATGTTGTGATAACTCGGGGGTAGAGCACTACATAATCTATGTCTGATAACAATAACATAATTAGTTAGCAATTAACAGTAACTGAATAAACAAAAGGAGACAAGTGATACCTCATGACTCAAAGCGACAAAAATGAATTCATGAATTCCTCTTCGAATGACTAACAATCATATTCGATATTTTTATCAAACCTTTTATAGTAATCTAAAAAAAATTTGATACTAAATTAATCAACGAAATAACAATATAATGATCAACAAAACTGACCAAGTTCACATAATTACAACTATTGAAAAAATTCAGACTGAATGGACTCTTGTTAATCGCACAAAAGAACATTGACTAAAATGTTAAAAAACTATTTCTATCGCATACGTTACAGTAGCTCGAAAATACCAAAAAGCTGAAGCGACTCAAAACGTTTATTCGTTAAATGAAATGCAATGCTATTGAAATGTACGATAAAGATGTCACATGACTGAATCTTCTGCAAACTGATTCTTTGATATCGACGCAAATAAACGAAATACTTCAAACGAAAATATCTAACTTCAGAGGTATAACTTGGTCTAACATCCAACTCGAACATCTCGTTAAAGAATATCATTTGTCAATAAAAATTGTAATGTGTCACGAATATCATAGCGACGATCGTTAAGTGAATCCAAATCAACAATGATTTGTAAAATGCTGAAAACAACGTTATGACAATTGCAAAGAAGAAACATATGCAACAGTTACTGAAATATTTAAAAGATATATTCGTTAAACAGCAATAAAATATCAACAGGAATAATAGAACTATCGACAATAGTTACATTATATATTATTAATTAATTTCAAAAATCATAGTTCAAAGTACGAAAACATTCGGAAAACAATTTGTCGATGTAAAAGACAATTTCGATTAGCTTATTCTGCTTTTATATTACTTTATTGTACAAAAGTCGTACACTATATTTTTCTTTTATTAAGATAAAGTGTATTCATATTAGGATATTATGTCGCTTGATTTTACTTTTTTTTATGTACGTAATAAAGTTTTTTTTGTTTTATATGCTTGTTATTTGTTAATCTTTATTGTTTTCAATATTAAAAAATAGTCCATCTTATTACAATATCGGCTAGTTTCACTACTACCTGCTTTGATTGGCGCAGATCTTGGAGGCACCTATCAATAAAATAAATAAATAACACTTTTATAGAATAAAACAGAATCTTAAATTTTGTTTCCTCCATACCGGCGGTATTCGAATCTTTGGTGCAGGTGGAAAACGTGAAGTCGCCGCAGTATTTTGAATTATATATGCGGGTTGTTCCTCTTAAAACAGAGATGAAAAATATGATTGTCAATATCGTACAGAGGCAAACGTAAAAATAGTTTTGAGCAGCCAAAAAAGAGTCTGTTTTTAAAATTATTACGATAATCAAGATCGAGTAGAAGCATTTATCATCAAGAATGAATAACAAACACATTGACAAGAAACAATTTATCTTACCATTCATATTTGATTTAAGTCTCGAAGAAAAAAAGGAAAATTACAAACTGAAAACATTTTTCGCATTGAAAAGTAGCATACAAACATTTGGAGACGTTTCAGAGCTCTCTGCAGCTATTGTTCATTAAACTACACTCAGTTTATGAAAAGCTGCATGTTGTCAAAAGCAGAAAGCCAGCAAAAACAGTTGAACATTATGGTCTCAAAAATCCATGATTTTTTTACATTTGAAGGATATAACCTTTTTACACTGATATACTTAAAGTAATGCAATTTCTATACTTGAAAAGCAAGAAATTTTAATACCTTAGCTTAGAATATTCCCACTACCAAGAGATAATTTTACACTGAAAAGTCTTTTTAAGGAAAAGAGAATAAATCAAACTTGAAATACTTAGTATATTGATGTTTTACAAGACAAAATTTACAGATATATTCTCTAGAAGTGAAGTCACAGGAAAATGTTAGTTTGCAGGTGATTCAAAACAGTTGTTGTAAACCTGTCTTTTTAGAACGGATTCAGCAGTGGTTGGAACTCATTAAATGGTTATCGTATCTAATTTCCTGCGTATTAATCAATCAATCATTTGACACGTTTTCCTGCTTCGGCACCGTAAAGTCTTTTCACTTACTAAAGACCAAAAGTAAAACTGAAAAATCCAACAAGAAAAATAGAAAATATTATTTATTATTCGATAAATGTACAAGAAAATAAAAATAAAAAAGGAAAAATTAATTTACGAGGGATTCCTCTCATGTGTCAAACGCCGTTTCCAATGATCTTATGCGGTTTGATAGAGGAAAATGTTCTAGTGAAAAGAAAGCCTAAAAGGATTTGTTCCCACGGTACTTCTTTCAACAGTTATGCATTTTTTGTTTCGCTGGAAAAACAGGTACAAAAAAGACCGACCGACAATCTTACCAATCACTTACAATGATGGAACAACTGTTATTCACATAGAAAATCAATTACATCACCGAAACAACCAAATTAAATAAATCGTAGAGACGAAGAAGAGGGAAGATAGCTTGTCCATTAGGAAACATTAACAGGATGACATATAATTAACCATAACAAAAGAAAAATGAATCGAAGCAAAAAAAAATTATTAATTGGAAAAACATGGTTTTTCTTAATAACAAGGAAAATTCAATAGATTATTTTCTAGAAAGGCTGAAACGCTTCTTTCTATGATATTAATCGAGTATTAGATCAATCATAGAAACAAATTTCAGCTCAAAATTCGTTGTTCTTATAGAGATACAAAAATTTTAGTGTTTTTGCATGTTTTCCCATTCGAAACAAAAAAATTCAAAACTCTCAAAAAACAAATTATTTTACTCTATTCAGTAGGATACTCCTCTGTCAACTGGCATGAGATCATCGAAAATGGAGTTTGACACCTGGGAAGATTCCTTCGTTAGACCTAGGCAAGAAACCTTTAGATAAAAACGACGACAAATTTTATATGTTTATTTTATGTTATAATTTAACAATTCGCTAAACCCTTTGCCCAAACTGGAAGCGTAGCGAGAGAAAGGGTAAAAAAAAGATGTCAATTTTTGAGAGAAAGTTAAAAGGTTATGGGACAAACGAAAAAACGGTTTTAATTCTTCAAAAATTTTTGGGAAAAAGATCATGAGTAGGAAAAGTAATAAATCCAAAAAAAAGCAGGAAGCACATACACTCCCTTATACCCCGCTATCGCTACAGCCCTGGTCTGAGCAACTGAAACAGTTGATGCAAGTCAGACTACAAAAAAACAGTTGATTAGAAGACAGACTACCAACATAGAACAAAAGAAACAAGCTGCATCTATCGTCTAACGCTTGAAACGTAGTCACAAAAAAGCAAAAACTGTTTTACACGTGAGGCATAGTACGAATGCCGCACTTTTTTTATGCATAGTGTTTTCATGGTTTAGGTGTGAAAAAAAAGACCATGTCATTCACTTTTCTGTATTGTACATCCAGGAGAGTGGATTTGTTCATCACCCACTTTAGCAGATCAAAAGTATTATTCTAATGGACGACCGGTAATCCCCTCTTATAGGTGGCGCTCTCTAGAAAAAGGATTATCGATCATCCAGTAGAATAATACTTTTGATCTGCTAAAGTGGGTGATAAGTGACAAACAAAGGAAATTTATCCACATTCCTTGATGTATAATACCGAAAAGTGGATGATATGGTCACTCACTTTTCTGATATCAAGTTTTACACACTGTTAGAAAAGAATATAGTTTAAATAAATAAAGAATGCGGATGAGGTGTGTTCTGACCATGCTCCAATGCAAGCATGGCGCACCTAAAGTGTATTCTTTTCTGACAGCGCAGTGAGTGCACTACATATACAACAACATAAATTTTAAAATCGAATTCCTAGGACTTAATTTGCCAAGATGTCAACTTGACTAGCAAATCAGAAACTTAAACTGTACCTCAATGTGGATAACAGCTGCACTTTCAAGAGATGTTCTTTTTAATTTATTTTACATCGCTTGTAGCAAAAAGTTTAGGTTAACATTATTGCGCCAAACGAAGTCAGTCATATTCACGGATGCAGTAAAAAGTGAGAAATTAAAGAGGTCAAGGTAAGTGTACGATAACTTTCGACAGCCGCGATCTTACCTTATCTATTCTATTCTTCCACGAAAACTTCATCACACTGTCTCGAAATGTTACGGTCAATGTATAACAATGTCATGCTAAGAGTGTAAAAATGTTTTCGGAACAGTGCACTGAATACTTTTTTTGTTTGTTTGACATTTTTACAAATGTTGCAGGACAACCGGAAACAGAAGAGTGAATGAAAGGCTTACAAATATTCTTTTTTGATCGATTGAAGCAATCATAACCTGTAAGAGACGATATAGTTTCTTAAAATTGCGAAAAGAAAAACAATGTCGCTGCAATGCGCTCTTGAAATCGATACTGTCAACGTGGTGATTGTTACCACTTGTATTCATTTTTATTTATTTCTCTATGAAGAACAACAATTTTAATAGACACGACTTATTAAATTTTACGTGTCCTGAGAAGTTAACAGGAATATTAGACGATTTATACGGACGTTTTGTAATGAAACTATATGTAATAGCGACAACGATCGTTACTATCCAAATAAAAGACAAAGTAGTTTGGATGAAAATGTCTTAATATCTTAAGAGGAATATGTTTTAGTGTCGAGTTCTGGCTAAAAACTGAATTTTTGAAAATAGTTCATGTGATTGATTCCATTTTAAAGAGCAAGAAAAGTTTACTTCACGAACAACGGCCTATCACTGTGTTTTGCATTGTATATACAACTGAATATTTTGATGATTAGTTAACAACTTGATCATAAAATGCTCATAAAGGGTTAAATGTTTTAATATTCCATGAAGTACAATGTAAGAATAAGGACCAGTGATAAAAAATTATCACATCACATTTGGACAAGTGATGAGGAGTAATGAGTTGAGCCAAAGCAGATTAGTAACAAAATTTGTTTTTGTTCTTCATTTCAGACTATATTATACTAATGTGATGTTTAGTTCGTTAAAAAAATTAGCTGAATTATTTTGTGATCAGCTTTTGTATTTTCGCTTATTAATTGTTATCATACTCGTTTGCGTTCATCGGTTATTATTACAATATGTTATAAAATTTCGTCATTGTCCAAATCCGTTTTGTTCACGATGTCTCGACTCCGATACGATGAGAGAACGCATAATAAAAATTTTAGAAAATAATGGTACTAACAGTTACATAAATAATGTCGATGAAATAAAAGAAAGTAAGAAAGAAGTAGATCAATTATATACTCTTGTATTAACAAATCTCGTACAACACAAACGATTATTATTGAAAAATATCGAACAGCCTACGATTTATTATCATCGTGGTCTCAGCAGTACACTGTATAATCACATTGAGCACAAGGATGTATTAAAAACTTATCTCGATTGTAAAATTTTACTCGATCAATATGACATGATACTTCAGGAATTTATTAGAGTATTACAACATGACAATGGCAAATGGCAAAATGATTCAATTCAAAAACGTTCACTTCTTTATTTATATAAAAATGGAGTTGAGCATAAAACAAACTGTAAATTAATGCCAAAAACCTTTGAACTTTTACAAACATTGCCAAATGCTATTATATCAAATCAAGATTGTCTCTTTGGAAATTGTATGATTACTTGTTTAAACTCAGTAGTATTACCAACGAATGAACAAGAACACGGTATTACAAGTTGTCGTATACGCTGTCATTTGGGTTTAAAATGTACAATTCAAGATTCAGACAACAAACAAGTGTATATCCTCATCAATAAGCATAAACGTTTGTCGTTAGAAAATAGACATATGATAGCTTACAACGATTCGATTATGCATCAATACGTTAATAATACAAACTATAAACAATACGTATTAACCGTTGATTTATGGCATCCAGATTTATCAAGTTCAATGAGAAAACATCTGACAAATATTTTTCATAGTAGACTATCGCTATAATTTCCAAAAGATTGTAGTAAAAATTGCCTCATCTATTCCTGTACAAGAGATTTTGTTTGACTCTTGTCTTTTCTGTTAAACTGAATTCTTTTGTAGTCTCTTTTTATTGCCAACATTTGTACAGTTAAAAATATAAAATAAATGTTAGAAATAAAAAGAGACTGGTAAAAGCTTAACTTTAACAGAAAAGACAATGTGTTATTTTGTTATAATTGGCTATTTTTTGTGTAATCGTTGTGTAGCTTTTAGTGATATAACTTGAATGGTCGAATAAACTGAATTTTTTAAGTTTATTCTTAGATTAGGATTAATCGACTCTGAATATGACACGGCCACATTTGCGTAGTTTTCCATGAGATTTTTAAAATAGATGTGTAATAAAACTTTTGTACTTTTGCAGTATAAATTTGAATACCAAGTTCATGCTTGTAGTTAGCCTCTACGATGGCTAAACGAATCTTATTAATCTTAGCCTGACATTAATAACTAGTTCTTCCATGTCATTGTTAGAACAAAAATCATTCTCATATAAGTTCACAGAACTACTGTTAATTTTTGTTCCCTTGACGCAGGTCAGGGGTCTTACGAAATAAATAATTTGTTTGGCTGTTCACATAGCAACGTATATCAAAACAAATACTGTTATTCGAAACTTTTGAAATTAATATTTAAAAACAATAATGAAAGATTTTAATTAAAGATTTTAGGCGTTGTTACTGCTCTGATCTGATATATATAGATGAATGCAATAAAAAGCTAAAGTCATAATAAATGCAGAAAGAGTGTGTGTCCATACGTTATGGAGAGTTTTAGAACAGAATTACTTTTGAAAACGTGCAAATGATGATCTGTACCACATGTCAAGGAGATGTAGGGATGTTAAGTTTCGATCTCTCTTAGAACAGAGCAACATTGACCTTGTATTTCTTTACATCAATCAAGTTAACATCGACGTTTAAAATATCATAGGAAGAAGCAGTTCGAGTTGTATAAATGCTGATACTTAAAACGTGTTCTACAATTTTTACAAGCGCAGGCCAGCTGTCACAAAATGAAAAAAGGGCACTTTCACCTCTCCTGAAGGCAAAACAAAACAAAAAGTTCTTACACTACAGATAAAAATGAAGCTAAAGTGCTGCTTAATCCAGTGAAAAAGGACAATGTCAAGATCTATCTCCGTCTTTGGGTACGAGCCTAGGATCTTACAAAATAGTTGTCGGTGTGTGTGTGCGCAAAATACCGAAAAATGGCTGTCAGATAACCCGTGGATAAGCTAATGACAAGAGAGAGAATTAGAAAATATTTTTTACACTAGAAAATATTCAAAGAGATGGCTGAAATAATATTTACTGCGACTGGGGACCGAAGGGAGGCGTGAGCATTGTCTGATGTTTAGAAGTAGTTTTAAACCTCTAGGAACCTTGTAGGTCAACCTTGAGAAAACTTTTTATATTTATATTAGATTACGAAACTTAAACATCAAATCAGAGAGATATTCATAATATATTGCAGATGGTCCACTAGCGAACACCGACCAAAGGGAGGTGTGAGCGTTGTCTTCGATTCAAAATCATGAAAGGTCGTTCACAAATATAAGTTCCTAAAGTCAAGGGATCGAGCGAGCGCAGACGAGCGTTACCTTGTTTGTTGATATTCCCTTGACTTTAGTCTAGGGTCTTACAAAATGGTTGTCTGTCTGTGTGTGCGCAAAATACGGAAAAAATGCTTCCAAACTCCTTGGGATCTGCAGAAAAATTCAGAAGATGTCTTCTTAGTTAGGCCCCAGCGAGCGCCGATCGAAGGGAGGCGTGAGCATTGTGTTCGATTTAAAAGTCACCAAAGGGTAGTCCAAGTTAATAAAGTCAAGGGACCGAGCGAGTGAAGACGAGCGTTACCTTGTGATCCAACTACATGAGGATCAATATAAAATATCTACGCATTTAACGTGTCTAACGAAAGAATTCAAAACATCACAAAGAACTATAAATCGTGGTCATATTAAATTATAACTCTACTTAACATGGTTTTGCCAGAACAGATTGAATAAATGCAGCAGATAGAATGTCCATACCATTTCTTATTGTCCTCTAGATATCAGTACGACTTGGACATACTCATAGTACGGTTAAAGCTGACTTGTGTAGTCCATGATTCAGAACGAACGAAAAAAAATCTTTCACAATACTTGCGTAATACCTGTCTACCATACACGACGTGGCATCCAGCGTGGGCAATGACAGAAAGTTAAAATCATTTAAATACGTCGCAAGTTCGATTGATTCTATAATCATTTCCGAATAATCTTACTGTAAAAATGGGTGGTACATGGACAAAGCTTTCAAAATATTTCAAAAAAGAAAAAGTTCGCCTTCTTGTGTGTGGTCTCGATGCAGCAGGTAGGAGAAGTTATATTGATCAAGTCCAGAAATACAGTTGTTCTAGATTTCCCATCAGTGAATCTTTATAACAAACTATTTTCTTTTGCACCACAAAGGCTACTTGAGTGCTGATAGAATGTCTTAGAGTCTGTCTTTATTTGTAGGTAAAACAACTATTTTATATATGACAAAATTAGGAGAGGTTGTAACAGATATACCAACAATTGGATTCAATATTGAGGCCATAACCTTCAAGAATATTAATATAACAGCATGGGATGTTGGTGGAAGAAGCGGCATGCGGCCATTATGGAGACATTATTATCAAAATACAAAAGCTCTTGTGTTTGTTGTTGACAGTCATGATCGTGACCGTGAGGAACAGGCGAAAGATGAACTACATCGAATGATTTCTGAAGAAGATTTAAAAGATCTTCCATTGCTGGTATTGGCAAACAAACAAGATTTACCGAATGCAATGAGCAAAACGGAGTTAATTGAAAAACTTGGACTAGAAAAATTGAATGGAATAAGAAAATGGCATGTGCAGGAGACAGTCGCTACAATGAATCAAGGGATAAATGAAGGTTTCGATTGGTTAGTAAGTGCATGCACACCAGAATTACCAACTGATAACATCATGAAACCAATCACTGAAACAGTGAATGATACACAAATGATAAAAAGTGATCTAATCAATTCGTTTTGGATGACAATTAAACCGTTTCACACATTGTTGAATAAAGCATTTTGAAAAATGATAACAGTACCAGAGACCATCACATGACAAATTTTTTCGTCCTGTTTTACTGCCCTACTCTGTCTTATCCTGTCCTGTCAGAAAATTACTCATAAAACGTTTTTCACCCTGCTCTGTAGTGCAAAAGAAAGTTTTCTTCTTAACCTGAAAGACTTCATCTGCTTCACTACAAAGACTGGATGTGTTTCTCGTGTGTAACAGAATCTCTTTTTGTATTAATTATTAGTTTTAGAAAAGTTGGCTGTCATTTTTTATTTTCACATATCCGAAAGATAAACAGCACGCACATGACCACGGCGCACTGTAGGTGAAAGAAAACAGAATTGAGCGACCGCTGTTATCTTCGTCGTTCGATCTCAAAATTTTAGTTAAAAAGAAGCTTGAAAATCTCAAAAATCAATCTCTCGTAGCGCATGAAATGTTGGTTTATTGCACGATTGTATCAGATGGGATCATGCCGTTATAATGTATCGCAACTATACTGTTGTTCGCTCAAAATTTAGCGAAAACTGTCTCTGCTTAGAATCACAAAATGTATGAATAGTTTCTTGCAAATCAAGAAATTTTTTGTTGGTCTGGGACAGGATAAAAAAGGTATATCGCTCTGCCATGCAGGACAAGAGAGGGCGGCAGGATAACAGGGCAGCCCTGTCCTGCGATGACCTCTGAACAGCACTGATAATTAGTGATATCCTACAAGTGTCTAGTTGTAATTAGTTTATACTTAAAGATTGTAATTAAATAGTTTGCACCGATGGAAACTTTCTTTTTTTAATTTAACGAATAAATGTAAAGAAAACAGTCCATTTGAAACTTTCTACAGTAGAACTGCGACAAATAGCGATTTTCATTTCTATTTTCCTTTCTTATTCACGTTATATATAGTATGTGCTCACGTTGCAATGTACGGTACACATATATAACATACATTATTAAAACTGTTGTCTGTGTTGAGTGATGTCACGTTTCTTTCTTTTCCTTAGTGTGAACGTTATAAGCTTCATGCAGATAAGACGTATAAGAACTTTTTGTTTTGTTTTGTTTTGCCTGCAGGAGAGGTGAAAGTGCCCTTTTTTCATTTTATGACAGCTGGCCTGCGCTTGTAAAAATTGTAGAACACGTTTTGAGTATCAGCATTTATACAACTCGAACTGCTTCTTCCTATGATATTTTAAACGTCGATGTTAACTTGATTGATGTAAAGAAATACAAGGTCAATGTTGCTCTGTTCTAAGAGAGATCGAAACTTAACATCCCTACATCTCCTTGACATGTGGTACAGATCATCATTTGCACGTTTTCAAAAGTAATTCTGTTCTAAAACTCTCCATAACGTATGGACACACACTCTTTCTGCATTTATTATGACTTTAGCTTTTTATTGCATTCATCTATATATATCAGATCAGAGCAGTAACAACGCCTAAAATCTTTAATTAAAATCTTTCATTATTGTTTTTAAATATTAATTTCAAAAGTTTCGAATAACAGTATTTGTTTTGATATAGATGTTAAAGCGAGTATACAATAAGCTGTTCATCTGAATAATGTTGCAAAAATTGTAAATAGAATCCTGACATCATTAGATTTCAGTTCTCTTTTATCATCTGCAATTAGTGGCATACTAAATACTAAACATGAATAAGTGAATAATCTATTAGACACCTTCACACTTAATGGAAAAACAATTAATCAGATAATCAATGATGGTATGTATTTTTATAAAGATAGGAATCGTGGACGTAATGAAAACGTTATCGTTTCAATTTAGCCACCCAGGTGATTTTTCTGCAACATAAATCTTTGCACTAACTTTGTAGATTCTGCAAAGGGTCTCTGCAGATTTGTAGCAGATGTGTCAAGATTTTACCAAATATCTGGTGTAGATCTGCAAAAAATCTTTACAATTTCTTTGCAGGTTCTTTGCAGAGAAACTGCAGATTTTTAGTTTTATTTGTATATTTGTGTCAAAACATTTGAAATATCTGAAATAAATATATATCCCACAGTCCCACAGCACACTGGAAAATCTGCAATTTTTCTGCAAAGAATCTGCAGAGAAACTGCAACGATCTTTTTGCAGGTCTACATCAGATCTTTTGCCAAATCTTGGCACATCTGTATTGGGGACAAATACACTTATTACACCCCCCTCATATATCGACTATTTCAGTTTAAATAGCCTCTGCGGAGTTCACTGAGTGCATTCTTAACAGTCTCTGATCGATAGATCAAGGCATATATGAATCACGT